CCTTACTATAATGCTTTTGAAATTCATCTATACTTTTTTCCTCATATCAGTAGTTTATTCCTTTATATTGATGAGGAATATTCTATTTATAAAATATGACACAATTTCTTGTGCATGGACATTTGTTTTTGTTTTCCAGGTTTTGGCTATGAAGAATAAAATTGCTGGGAACAGGCAAATGCAACTATCTATGGACACAGGTTTCCATTTCTCTGTGGTTACAATTAGAAATGATACTGATGTGTCAAATGATGAGTGGATGACTAACTTTAATAACTGCCACGGTGTTTCCCAAATTTATTTTACTATTTGCATTCCCATCAGCAATGTATGAGAGTTCGTTTTTTTTTTTTTCATATCTTCAACACCTAGGTATCGTCAGTCTATCAACGCTACCTACCAAAAATTGAGTGGGCAATAATATCTCATTGTGGTTTTCATTTGTATTTCCTTAAATACTAATAACGCTAAGTTTATTTTCCATTCATATACCATCTTTAGTGAAATATGTGTTCAAATATTTATTTTGCCTATTTTTTTTTTCCTGGCGGCTGACCAGTGTGAGGATTTCAACCCTTAATCTTAGTGTTATAACACCGTGCTCTAACCAATTGAGCTAACCGGCTAGCCCCTATTTTGCCTATTTTTAAATCGTGTTGTTTATATTATTATACTTGTAAAGGCCCTTTACATATTGTGGATACCCACCATTTATCAGACAAGACTCAGGGTGGTATGGCTGTAGACCAATTAAAATATTGCCAGTAGAGGTTGTGTGATGGCCGAACCCCTGAGGCATCCCATGGGCAACATGTATTGTGTCCATTCAAAGGTGAATGTAAATGAGAGGCTGTTGAAATAGGCACTGAATAGAGCACATATAACAGCAAAGTATTTGCCAGTGGAATACCAAATGGCCTCATTCATTTAAATTACGTGCAGTATGGGGACCTTAATAAGTGAGACAAAGGTAGCAGTAATCTACCATGAAATCCTATTCCTCCTAGGATTCTTAAGTAACTATTGTGTCTCAGATGTAAACAAAATTGGTTACTTCTCACTTCAAGTCAATGAACCTACATAATTTGGATGTTAAATATATTTTTTATATGTTTTCAAAATGATTTCCAGCCCTTTTCTTTCTTTCTTATTTTTACTGATTAAATTGTTATTTCTTTTGCCTACTAGGACTTTTTTTTTTTTTTTTTTAAAGATGACCGGTAAGGGGATCTTTACCCTTGACTTGGTGTTGTCAGCACCACGCTCACCCAGTGAGCTGACCGGCCATCCCTATATGGGATCCGAACCCGGGGCCTTGGTGCTATCAGCACCGCACTCTCCCGAGTGAGCCACGAGCCGGCCCTGCCTACTAGGACTTTTCAAAAATGTTCCTTTAGTTTTTGCACCTATATTTACTTGGAAATTTTTATTCAAATATACGTGAAGATAAATTTAACATGAGTGCTTTCTTCCCCACCTGTGTAAGTCTGGAAGTAAACACTTGTCTGTGGTTGTGGATCCCTCTGGAGTCATTCTGATTCACTTAAAAACGAACCATAGTATCTCTATTCACTTCCCTCTACCTGGCCTCTTGGCTGCTTGATTCATTCCACAGTGCTCTTTTAGCCCCTACCAGATGCCTGTGGAGAGTGATCATAGTATAATGTACTCTTCAAGATCCAGTCCTGGATGTGCGGGAAGGAGAAAACAGGCAGCTATTTTCTCCCCCAAAACATCAGTGCTATTTTTGTTATTACAGAATATATCCAATGTATAATATAGTCAAATGAAGTGTGATTGAGTTCTTTATCAGTAAGTTCTAATAAATCTTAATGTACATGCACTTGAAAACTTTAGAAATTAGAGGCTAAAAATTGCTCTGCTAGATATGGGTGAAAATATTGAGAATGTCTGGAGCATAACAACACTTTATAAATACGCTATTTTTCAAATTTATTGTAATTCAAAAGTTTTTCAGATTTATTGAATGTTTTTCAAATTTATTGAAATTCTCCAGTCACTTTATAGACCCCCAAGCTGTGTATTATGTTGGATTACTTATGTCTTTTCTGTCAAAAAGAACGAAAACAGAAACTTCCAGAGGATTCATAATAAAAATAGGCTTTAACTACAAAATATAATGTTAGCAAATTTCATCCCAATTGTTAATATGCATTCTTTCTTATCCTCTGTGAGAAAAACATATTCAAAGTTTATGATTTTCTTTGCAAGAATTGTATTTCAAATATCTTGCCTGCTTGTTTTCTGAACAATTGATTATTTAACTGAATAACTGATGAAGTTTGGATGTGTTGTCGCCTCCAAAACTCATGTGAAAATTTGATCTCCAATGTGGCAGTGTTGGAAACTGATTGAGTCATAGGGACGGATCCCTCATGAATGGATTAATGCTCTCCCTGAGGGACGGATCCCTCATGAATGGATTAATGCTCTCCCTGGGGGAGGGGAGGTAGTGAGTGAGTTCTCGCTCTATTAGTTCCCACGAGAGATGATTGTTTAAAGGACCCTGGCACCTCCTCTCTCTCTCTCTCTCTCGCTTCCTCTCTCGCCATGTGATCTGCTTGTACCCGCCAGCTGCCTCCTGCTTTCCGCCATGAGTAGAAGCAGCCTGAGGCCCACACCAGATGTGGCCATCCCAGAATCTTAAGCCAAATAAACCTCTGTTCTTTATAAATTACCCAGTCTCAGGTAGTTCTGTTATAGCAACACAAAACGGACTAAAATGATAATTTAACTGAATTATTGCTAATATTATACATTGTCTTTTCATTTGTTTTCAATAGAATTTTTGGTTTCAGGTGTGTAAGAATGTATTTAGTGTTCATTTAAATATGTACAATTTATGTGTTGTCAATTATTCCTGCATTAAAGTGTCATAAAAACAAATATTCAAAACTTGTCACTTCCCAATTTTACTATGTTTTATCACCTGTGTTCTGGAGGTTATTTGCAGCTACTGGAGCACTATGGTGGACATAGAATGGTATGTTTCTGGCGACTCTTCCCAACTCCATATCCAGTGGCATCATGATGATAGTTTCAAATTGGCCATGACGGAGGGTTTACACTAGGGAAACTGGCAAACATTAACGTGATAAAAAATATGTGAAAAATATAGACTAAACTTAAAAGTGTGTGTGGTGTATATGGTCATTACACTTGCATGACACGGAAAAAACTGTGGAATAAAAATGAGCAGTTTATTTGTTAATGAAAAGAATAGGCACAATTCATAACAAAGAAAACAGGCAAAAGATATGCATGGACATTTTGCCAGAGAAAATATACACATACAATAAACACATAAAAAAATTCAATATCATAAAGCCCTAGGGAAATGCGACTGAAACTACTGCACACTTATTAGAGGGTAAATTCTAAAAGATAGACTATACGAAGTTTTGGCAAGGATGTGGAAGAACTGGAATTCTTACACACTCCTAATAGGTATGCTAAAGCAAACAACCATTTTAGACCATAATGCAGCAGGTTCTTAGTAAGTTAAATATTCGTGTATCCTGTGTCTCACTTTGAGTTATTAACAAGAGAGAAATGAAATAATATAAAGAATTGTACACATTTGTAGCAGCTTTATTTGTAATAGCCCCAAACCGGAAATAACCTAAATGCTCATAAACAGATAAATGGATAAGCAAATAACATATCCATAGACGGTTAACTCAGTTGGTTAGAGGATGGCCTTGTAACACCAAGGTCAAGGGTTCGGTTCCCCATACTGGCCAGCCACCAAAAAAAAAAAAAATATATATATATATATATATATATATACACACACACACACACAACCATAGAAAATATACTTTTCAGCAATAAAAAGAATGAATGAGTCATATAAGCATCACTAAAGAACCTCAAAATAATTACGCATCATGAGTAAAACCAGAAAAAAATAAATATTTTGTGAATGAAACCATATAAAATTCTAGAAAATAAACTAATTATAGGTAAATGAAGGCAAATCAGTGGTTGCCTGGAAGGACAGGGAGGGGAGGAAGGGATTAGAAAAGGGCATGAAGTAAATTAGGGGTGAACTATATGTTCATTTTAATAATTATAATCATGGTTTAATAGGTCAGTAACCCTAGATTAACTCCCTCTTTTTCCTGATGATTTTTAAGGGGCAACCTTGCCTTTGTGGCAGTAAATATTGGTGAGCCATAAAGTTCATTTCTACTTAGGATGGCTAGGTCACAAAGCCACATTGCTGGATTAAGGGATCTCCCTTCTCTCTATGATTGTTTTCCTGGCCTGTGCAGCAATGGTTTTTATGTGAACATCCTAGAAAGGCTACTGGAATACACAAAACCATTAGCTTATTTTTTCTGATAATGACCTCAGCTACAGAAGATACATTTCTGGAGACCCTGAGAACATCTGTACACACTGATCTTGCACAATCACTAGAACAGTTTACAAGGAGTGCATTCCATCTAATTTGCTGCAATCTCTTCCACTCCCTAATCCAGTGTTTCCATACCAATTTTGGTTCCCCTGGCCCCTGTAATCTTACAGTGACATTAGCCTACTGAATCATGGGTATCAGGGAATCCAAATCCTTTGCAGGACCTGAACTAGACACTGCCCTCAACAGTACTGGGCATTGTGTGATATCCACTATTAACAAACAAAAACCAATTCATGTTGTTCCCAGAAGCACTGCTGGTTGTCACAACTTCCTGCCCCATCAGGGTGTCCTCTGAGCACACAGAAAATCCTGGCATCCAATCCACAAATTAGGACCATAAGACCCTGAATTCTTTCCTAGGAGGCCTTGGGCAACAATCCACATTGGGCCAAACTGGAAAGCTATATTCTTCCATCATACTGTCATCTCTGAGCACACAAGTTATGTGAACCCAACACCCATACCCCAAGTGCTGTTTAACCTGTGATGATGGCAGGACCCAATTCTGTTTTCAAACCACCTCACATCCCAAATAGAACCCCAAGATTAAAGGTAGCTTAAATAATAAAGACTTTATTATTACAAAAACCAAAACTATGTAAGGCAGGCAGTTCCCAGGTTGGTGACTTGTAGGCTGGAAAAAATCCAGTGTCAGGGGACCAACATGTTCCTGAAAAAGATAGCTTTTCTCAGCAAACTGCCAACAAAACTTGTTTCTTGTTTATTTGTTTCAGGTTGTATCAGGTCAAGTCCATGCCCTAACTTGTGAGAGACAAGGGAATGAGAACCCCCTAAGGGTCAGACTACTCATGATTTCCTCCAGCAAATGGAAAGCACAAAGGTCAGTTTCCCTGAACATGCTGGGGTGGTGACTGATGCACACTGTGTGGATAGGGCAGGTGGTAGAGGTGAAATGGCTTCTGCCTCAGAAACCATCAGTGGCATAACTTGTAAGGGCTCTGGGCAGGTAAGAAAGTGTAACACAGCTCCTCAAATCTTCCAACGTTGAGACTTTAATTCAGGTAGATGACTCTCAAAGGTGTTCTCCTCCAGTGTTATTACACTAAAAGGAAATTGCATATTCTCTGTACAGCTAAGGCTTTTCTCCAGTGTGAACTCTCTGGTGTTGAATAAAGACAGATTTACAGCCAAAGGATTTCCCACATTCACTGCACTGATAAGGCCTTTTTCCAGTGTGAATTCTCCGGTGTTGAATAAGGCTGGAACTCTGGCTAAAAGATTTCCCACATTCGCTGCACTCATAAGGCTTTTCTCCAGTGTGAACCCTCAGGTGTTTAATGAGGTTAGATTTGCAGCTAAAAGATTTCCCACATTCACTGCACTCAATAGGCCTTTCTCCAGTGTGAACTCTCTGGTGGTTCTTAAGGTTAGAGCTATGGCTAAAGGATTTCCCACATTCCCCACACACATAAGGCCTTTCTCCTGTGTGGACTTTCCGATGTGAACTGAAGCTGGAGCTTTGCTTAAAAGATTTCCCACATTTACTGCACTCATATGGCCTTTCTCCAGTGTGAAGTCTCCGGTGGTGAATGAGACTGGAGCTTCGGCTAAAGGACTTCCCACATTCACTGCACTCATGAGGCCTTTCTCCAGTGTGAACTCTCTGGTGGTAAATGAGGCTAAAGTTTTGGCTGAAAGACTTCCCACATTCACTGCACTCATAAGGTCTTTCTCCAGTGTGAACTCTTCGATGCTGAATAAGGTTAGACCTTTGGCTAAAGGATTTCCTGCATTCCACACACTCATAAGGTCTTTCTCCAGTGTGAACCTTCCTATGGCTATTGAGGCTGTAGATCTGACTAAAAGATTTCCCACATTCACTGCACTTGTAAGGCCTTTCTCCAGTGTGAACTCTCTGATGTATAATGAAGCTGGAGTAGTAGGTAAAAAGTTTTCCACATTCATTGCATTCATAAGGCCTTTCTTCACTGTGGACTTTCTGGTGCTGAATGAGATTACATCTTCGTGTGCAGGCTTTCCCACATTTGCTGCACTCAAAAAACCCTTCTCTAGTGAGGACTCTCTGGTCCTGAACAAGCGTGTCTGTGTGGCTGAAGGCTTTCTTGCATTCTCCCCAGATGTGATGACTTTTTCCACTGTGAAATGCCACCCTACATTTGTTACTGTTATTTGGCTTCTCCCCAGCATGAATGGCCTGTTGGTGGGGAAATCCTATGCTGGCCAGAAAGACATTCCCAACTTCTCTGCAGGTAAAGGGCTTCTCTGACACATGGACTGTGCAGCTCTTTATAAATGAGGCTCTGTCCATATAACTTCTGAAGGGTAACTCTTTAATGTGCTGCCTCTGGTGCTGTTGAAGGTCTGCTGTGAAGTAGAATTGTTTTGCACATGTGTATGGATTTTGCCTGTGATGTGATCCCTGGTGCTCAGCCAAGTGTAAAATGTCTTTTAAGACCAGGCCACATACTTCACAGGGGTAGACATTCTGGTAAGATGAACCTTCTTTCAAAGTCCTGACCTGTGACACTCCTACAGAAATGCTCTGTTCAGAAGGTGCCTCTGCATGCTCCACTCCAAACCAACCACCTAAAAGCAAAGAAGTGATGGTGAAGTACCTGTTGCCTTTATTAGGAGGGGGGCAATACAATCACATATGTACATCTGACACTGCAAAGAACCAGTCCATGGGATTGTTTTCAGGAAAAGGGAGTTGGGGGTCAGGTTGAGAAAGCAACTGCTGTGCATTACTGAGCTCCTAACATCACAGAATGGGGTAGGCTTTACCAGGTCCAAGACACAAGGACAGGGTGTGGCCAAAGGATTAGAGGCATGCTCTATAATTCATTCCTCTATCAATGGCTTTTAGCAGGATCATATCTGCTGGTAACATGTAATGCTGTGAAGTGTACTTCCAGGCCCTAGAAAATGTGACTGACAAAGCAACTGGTGTTGAGACTATTAAAGGATATATGCATACCTCAGGATGCAACAATATTAGAAAACACACAGAGAGGACAGTATGAGAAACAGGTGAGATAAGGAGACCAGAGAGGTAGAAATGAGCCCTGGGCTGGAAGTCAGAATAAAAATAACAGGTAGTAGAAATGACAAGTTGGTAAACTGTCAAAAATGAAAAAGAGAAGATAGAAGTGAGGTGCCTCTGGAAATGGCACCAAAATGTAAGTCAAACAGGACAGGTCCCTGGTATGACCTGAACATACCCTAATGTCATGCCCTCCCCCAGCTTCCATTCACCTGGCTCAGGACCTCTCTGAGCTCATCTTACTGAGGCTAAAGCCATGAACATCATCTGAAGCACTGATGACTCTTTTCCTAGACCCAAATGAGCAACTACATGAGACTGGGATGATATAAGTCCTAAGGGAAAGACAGGACACATAAGTAGCTAACATTGGTCCAGAAAAACTTAGCATACAACAGGACACAGGAAGTTAAGCTGGTATAAACTCAAATTAGAGTGTTATAACTTTAGGATGTTAAATATTTATGTGCCCAATAATAGACCATCAAAACACACAAGCAAAAAATTGACAGAATTGAAGGGAGAAACACAGTTCTAAAATAAAAATTGGAGACACTAATATTCCACTTTAAATAATGGATAGAACAGCCAGAGAGAAGATAAATAAGAATACAGAAGACCTAAACAGCAAAATAAAACTAGATCTAAGAAACACAGACACTCTACCCAACAACAGAATGCACATTCTTCTTAAGTGTACCTGTGACATTCTCCAGAATAAACCATATGTTAGGCTGTAAATAAGCCTCATTAGATTTTTTAAAATTTATTTTTATTAAATCATAATTGATTATACATATTTTGGGGACTCAATGTTGACATATGTTGATCAAATCATTATTACCAGTATGTATATTGTTACAAATTGTATTTATTCTTTATTCCCCTTGTCCAATCTCTCCCTATCCCCCTCTTCCTCCCTCCTCCCACCACTGATAACCCTAGATTTCTTCTCTCCCTCTGAAAGAGTAACAGTTACTCTGTTGATTTGTTGCCTAGATGATCTGTCCAATGCTGAGAGGTGTGTTCAGGTCCCCCAGTATTATCATAGAGCAGATGCTTCTTCTGTCACTCTAGAATGGGCTTTGTGAAGATAGACATCCTCTTTTCTTTGGTCTCTGCTGGTGACTCTCCTTGTGTCAATGCACTCCAGTGGGTGGTGGACCATCTGTATGGTGGTTGTGACGTCTAGTCACTTCGTGACAGCTGTGGTTACTGTGGTGGGACACCCACATGGAAGTGATGTTTTTGGCATGCTAATTGGCGCTGGTGATGTGCCTGGTTGTGGGCGGGGGGTGGGTCAGGTCCCTGGCTCATTGCCCCGGGCCCATGGGCAGGGCCCCGAAGCACTGGTGGTGTGCCTGGGCCAGAACTTTTTGTCCTTTGCTTACTTCTAACACGGGGGGAACTTCCTGTGGGAACCAGTACCTGAGCTCTGTGGTTGAGCTAAATTGCTGCTTTGCTGCTGTTTCCCTAGGGAAGGCTTTTTGTGCAGCTCAGGGTTTAATGGTTGACCTTATAGGTACTTCCAGCTCTCCAGAGACCCAGTGCACCTGGGTTGTGTAGAAACACTGGTCTGGGCCTGAGTCTTTTCATCAAACTGCACCCCATCCAATTCTGCATTCCCAACCAATCTCCTGTCAGTGGCCCTGCACTGATTGAGGGGTAGATCGGCTGTCCTTGCTGTGTCCCAGTGTTCTCCTGGTGTGCCTGTCTCCCCCACCACCCATATTCCCAACACTTCCCATGGGATGGGCCCTGCACTGGTCCCTTGTGATGACTCATCAGCCTCTGAATGGCTCCTTGTTTTTAGCTGTTCTGGCTCCTCGCTCCTGCATGAGCCCAAGGGAACCCTATTAGTGGTCTTGCTGTCCTGGGGGCCACAAGGCCCTCTTCTCCCCTGTTGCCTCCAAGCAACTCCATCTGAAGGGCACAGCTATGGTTTCTGCTGGCTCCTGCTCCATGTGCTCAGCAGCTCTAGGCTTAAAGACGCGGTGGCCTGAAATGTTCTGAGCAGTTTTTTCTTTCTCTCATCATGGTTTCTCCCACCTTCATGAACTCCATAGGTCTCTCCTTCTCCTCCTCCCCTGAGCTCCAGTTACCCCAGCTTGGCTATTGTTACATTTCTATAGTTGCAAATTTGTTGATTTGTGGGAGAGAGTGATACTGGAGACCATCTTGACTGGAACTCAGCCTCAGTAGATTTAAAAAGACAGACATCATACAAAGTATCTTCTTCAACCACAATGGGATGAAGTTGGAAATCAGTTTAACAGAAGGAAAACTGGAACATTTACAAGTCTGTAGAAATTAAACCATGCAATCTTAAACAACCAGTGGGGCAAAGAAGAAATCACAAGGGAAATTAAAAAGTACTTAGAGATGAATAAAAATGAAAAGAGAGTATGCCAAAACTCAGGGGAAAATATATAGCTATAAACACTTCTGTTAAAAAGAAAAAAATAATCTTGATTCAACAGCCCGTATTTACAACTTAAGGTACTACAAAAAGAAGAATAAATTAAAGCCAAAGCTATCAGAAAAAAGGAAATAACACAGATTAGAGCAAAGATAAATAAAAGAGAAAAAAAATGGAGAAAGAACAGACTTCAACACACAATGCTAGGAAAACTGGATGTCCACATGCAAAAGAATAAATTGCACCATATACAAAAATTAATTCAAAATGGACCAAGGATCTAAATGTAAGAACTAAAATTATAAAGTTCTTAGAAGAAAATAGAAAAAAGCTTCACAACATTGGATTTGTCAATAATTCCTTGGATATGACATCAAAGGCACAGCCAGTAAAAGAAAAACAGACAAATTGGAGTTGGTCATAAGAAACGTCTACTGTCAACACAATAAAAAGGCAACCCAGAGAATGGGAGAGAACATTTGCAAATCACATGTCTGATAAGAGATTAATACCCAGATCATGTACCAGCCAGCACCCCCCACAAAAAAAATTCAGATAATATAAAGAACTTCAAAAACTCAACAATAAAAAACAAACCACCAGATTAAAAAATAAGCAAAGAACCTGAATAGACATTTATCCAAAGAAGTTATACAAATGGCCAATTACCACAAGAAAAAGATGCTCAACATCATTAATCATAAGGAAACTGCAAATCGTAAGCACAATGGAATATCACCACACACCCATTTGAATGGCTATTTAAAAAAAACAGAAAATAACAAGTGTTGACAAGGATTTGGAGAAACTGAAAACTTTGTGCAATGCTGATGGGAATGTAAAATGGTGTGGCTGCTATGAAAATAGTGTACTGGTTCCTTAAAAAATTAAAAATAGAATTACCATATGATCCAGCATTTCCACTTCAGAGTATATACCCAAAAGAATTGAAAGCAGAGCACAAAAAGTTATCTGTATGTTCATGTTCAGAGAAGCATTATTCACAATAGCCAAAAGGTACAAACAACCCAAGTGCCCATTAATGGATGAATGGATAAACAAAACATGGTACATACAACCAAATATTATTCAGCCTTAAAAAGGAAGGAAATCGTGACACATTCTACAACTTGGATGGACCTTGAAGATATTATGCTAAGTGAAATTAGCCAGACACAAAATAACGAATACTACTTAATTCCACTTATATGCAGTATTTAGCCTTTTTTGGGGGCAGCTGGCCAGTACAGGGATCCGAACCCTTGACCTTGGTGTTATAACACTGAGCTCTAACCAACTGAGCTAATCAGCCAACACCTCATCAGGTACTCAGAATAGACAAATTCACAGAAACAAAAATAGAAAGGTTGTTGCCAGGGGATGGGGGGAGTTACTGTTTAATGGGTGCAGAGATTAAGTTTTGCAAGATAAAAAAGTTCTATGGAAGGATGATGGTGATGGTTGCACAACAATGTGAACGTACTAAATGCCACTGAACTGTATACAGTTGTCCCTTGGTATCTATGGGGGATTGGTTCCAAGACCCCCGAGGATACCAAAAATCCATAAATACTCATGTCCCTTATATAAAATGGTGTGCTATTTACATATAACCTATGCACATCCGCCCATATACTTTAAATTATCTTTAGATTACTTAAAATACCAATACAATGTAAATGATATGTAAGTAGTTGTTATACTGTATTGTTTCAGGAATAATAACAAAGTAAAAAGTCTGTCCATGGTCAGTACAGATGCAACCATCCATTTTTTTCCTGAATATTTTTGATCTGCAGTTGGTTAAATCCACAGAAGTGGAACTCATGGATCCAAAGGTCTGATTATACTTAAATATGGTTAAAAGCAGGGCTGGTTGATTAGCTCAGTTGGTTAGAGCTCAGTGTTATAACACCAAGGTCAAGGGTTCAGATTCCTGTACCAGCTAGCTGCCAAAACAAATAAACAAAAATGGTTAAAAGGGTAAATCTTACGTTATATATTTTTACCACAATTAAAAATAATAATAATTAAAAAAAAACCCAACAACAACCTTAGAGTAGGTTCTTGCAAGAACAGTCTGTACAAGTAGTGACAATATCAGACACTACATTTTATGGCATAGTAAGGCACAAATAAATGTCAGATAGAGGAAGGGAGCAAAACTTGGGTGCCATGGACCTAGTCAGTCACCAGACAGGGAAAAGGCAAGTCAGGTGGGATCTACTAGGCTTAATGCAAGACTACAGCTCTCAAATTATTACCCGTGAGGCTTTGGGGCAGCAGGTATTGGAGTGATAAGGGGAGGGAAGTAGGCATGCACTCAGTCAATAGTACCTACCCAGGGAACCGGGAAAGGAAGCAGGGCCCATTGTCCAAAGGAAGCAGGGCCCATTGTCCAAATGTGAATAGGACAGAGCTGCTCCTGAGGAAAAGAAGAAAGGCAGAGCACAGCCCAGGGCACAGGGTGGGTATGAGGGCCTTACCTGGTGAGGATGTAAGTGCAAAGTTCTCCAGCATCACATCAAGGTATAGGTGTCTCTGAGCCTCATCAAGGAGATCCCACTCATCCCAGGAGAAGTACACAGCCACGTCTTCAAAGGTCACACTGCCCTGGAATGACAGGAACTGATGAAAACATGAACAGTCTTACTCTGGAAGACCCACAGTTCATGTCCCCATATATCTACCCTCATGTTCATCCTCCTCGCAATCTCCCCAACTCAGAGAAGATACCAGACCCTGGCGGCAACTGTGCCTGCTCTCTACTTAAGTTCTCATGAGTCACTGTATTCAGTCTGTTTTCCACTTTGCAACCAGAGAGAACCTTTTAACCGCTGGGCAAGACAATCTCCTACTTTGACCCAATACTACCATTGCCTCCACAATAGACACCTAACTTTACAGGCAGTCATTCCAAGCCTGACTCCTACTTATCCACCTCCTGGAGTTTGTTGCCACCAGAAAGAAAGGAGATCTACAGTTCCCTGAACCAGTCCAGCCTCACCTCCATGCAGTTTCACACGCTGTTATCTGTATCTGTGATAAATTTCCACACCTCTTTCCAATGGTGGCCGTAAGTGGGAACCCCCCATGTAACTCCCAGCCAGCCTGGATGCAGGACCCTGAGCTCAGGAATTCTTGTCCAGGCTTCCCAAACCCAAGGGCTGAGAGAATGGCTGGTGAAGAGTCCCATAACACCACAAATTCAGAGAAAATGTGAATGGGGGTCGGGAGGAGTGAGAGACTGGGACACTCTCCACTTACCTGTGTAGGTTCCAAAAACACTTCTGCAGCCACGGGAACTTGTGGGAAGAGGCAGACATAGTGGGATGTAACCATGGCGTTGCTCCATGGACATAGGCTTTCCCTTTACCCCTACCCAGTCACAGAGCCAGATAACATCGAGTTGACTGTCTAACCTCAGTGCCTCAGTCCTCAGTGCTGCTTCTTACTAGTTGTGTAACTTGCAAAAAGCCTTAATCTCCCTCTGCCTCAATATCCTCATCACTCTCTAATCTGTTCTTCCACTGAACAGCCTTCGGGGGGCTTTTCAAACCCTAACTCAGGTCGTGTCTCTCTTTTGCTCAAAACTCTGCGTGGCCCTCATGGCGCTATGAATGAAGGTACAACTCAGTATGTCACTACAGGTGCAAATCTATTTCCAACTCTGTTCCCCTCGGTTAACAATGTGGACCCCAGGTTTCCCGAATGCTCCTGGCTTAGTCGCACCTCCGAGCCTTTCCACATGCAGGTCCCTCTGCCTGTCACACTTTTCCACACCCACCACACTGGATGTCAGAAACAGGAACCCACCCAAGAGCACCTCACTGTCCTGGACACCGAAGCCTGGGCTGCAGGACGTGAGGAGACTCTCACTGGGGATTAGGGATTTAGGGTTTAAGTGGGGGTGAAGGCGGGTGAGGCCCGGAGGACGCAGCGTTTACCTGAGCTGGGTGCCTTGGCGCGGCCGCCGCCATCAGACTGTGTGGGCGGAGCGGGACCTGGATCGGATGGCGACCAGGGAGGGGACCCGGGCACCGCCGGCCCCTGGCCGGCCTCGCAGGCGGCTGTGCCTCCGATCCTCAGGGCCACCTCTCGCGCCTTCCCGGGCTGTCACTTCGGACCTGACACGGCGCGCATCCAGCTGCCGACATACACAACAGAGCGAAGGGCAGCCAAAATGACCGCCACGAAGATGCCGGAAGTCCCGATTGAAGGAACACGCCCTCACGAAAGGCCGCCCCCCTGGACTTTCATTGGATCAACGCACTGCCACTTGACGCAAGGCTTTCTGGGTATTGTAGTTCTCCCAGCTGCACGGCCAGGGGCGAAGGGCGCCTGGCTCCCGAACCCGGGGGAGAAGATGCCCAGCAGCCCAGAGGAGCACCGGGAAAGACAGCGCTCGGAGCACCGGGAAAGACAGCGCTCGGAGCACCGGGAAAGACAGCGCTCTTCGGAAGGACAGGGGGAGGCAGGGGCCGCGCTCCTTCTTTAAGGGGCCACAGGCCGATTTCTGGGGAGAGTCTGCAGTGCAACTGATCGCTTAAGTATTTAGACATTATTTCGAACTCCACGAAGCCTGTCCAGGTAGACATCTACGGTTAGCAGGAAGCGAATAAACATTATCTTATTATTCTTCGATGCATGGCACCTGAAGTGTCACAGTCAGTTTTGTGAGCTTCAGTAGGTTCTGTCATGGACAAAAGAAATCAGACAGAAGCCATTATGGGGAAGATATTGCTTTACTCTGTATACCCTGTTGTTTGCTTTGCTCACTTAACACATCGTGTACGACCTAAAGCTACATCCTCATTTTACACACCTCTCTCTCTCTCTCTCTCTCTCTCTCTCTCTCTCTCTCTCTCTCTCGGCAGCTCATCAGCACAGAGATCAAAACCCATGACCTTGGAGTTATAAAGCTGTGCTCTAGCCAACTGAGCTAACCAACCAGCTCTTTTTGCAACTGATAGATATCTCCTTAGAGATAGATGGACAAGTTGTGCACCTACAGCTGCCTCCTACTTTTGGGGGCTGCATTGCATTGTGCTGTCTACATCCGCCATGGCGTCTGGCTCAGGGCTACTGATTGCCCCTCAGGACCCTTCTCCAAAGCCTCGGAAAACTCAGCGAGAGTCCCCAGTGCTGGTTCCGCGCTGGTCTGGCCACTCTCTGACCTCCTGGGACCTAAGACCCAGGTCTGGAAGCATCAGGGCAGAGGCCAGAAGGTCAGTGGTGCCCTCTCCACCTCGGGACAAAAATCTCTCTAGGAGGCATGGGTTGGGGTCATCCTTGGCCACCGTGTCCATGGAGTCCTCGAAGTCTACGAGACCACAGCAAGGACAGCATAGTCCTGCCACGTACGGCCTTCATGGGCTGTCCTGAGATTGTCCAGGCAGGTGTGAGGGAGATGTAGTAAGGGAAAGTCCCTGCTGGAGTTCAGGGCTAGCTTTCCCTAGTGGCCTGACCCCCACAAGGAGACCCCTCCACCTGCGAGTACCGACCCGGAGAACTGGAAAGACCTTCCTGAGAGTGGACCGAGTCCCGCATGGGTCCTGGGGAGTTGCGGGGACTAGGCCAGTACTGGGAACAGCGGGGACTCTGGCCACCTGGCTTTGTGCTGACTTGTGAGGCAGGGGGGATGGTGAAAAAGCTGGAGTCAGCTTCTTGTCTCTGGAGCCAAGCTGGGACTCCTCCTTCTGAGCGACTGGTGGGGACCACAGTGTTGGTTCCTCGCCACCGCCTTGTTACCGGGGACCAACAACACAGGGCGGGAGGAGGGATCCCGGACCAGCCTGCGATAACCTCCTGTGGGGCTGAGCGGGATGGTGAGTGTCGCAGGCCCGACCCCCTCTGCGCTTCGGCCCCGGGGGCAAAGAAAGAGACACCGAGCCTGGAGAGCGGTCAAAGCCGGAACTCCGTTTATTGCGAGGGGACAGGAGCTTATATAGAGAGGACAGGGTGGGGGAGCCGTCACCCAATCAGGGGCGGCCACGCCGCGGAGGGACAGAAGAAAGTAGGGCGGGAAAAAAGTGCAGAGTCATAGAATCCCGGAAAAGGGAGTAGTTAGGTACGTGCGCTTTGGCCCACATGAAATGGTGGCGGCGAGCTTGCGGCTCGCACGCAACATGGCTGCGGCCCTGCCCCCGCCAAGAAACAGACATTAGATATGGGAAAATCCCTTATGGCGAAAATGCACCGTAATATGGCCCAACACCACAGCCCTTGGAGTGAACAGTAGAACTCATCCCAGAGGGTCCTTCCTGAAACGCCTCTGCTGGGGGCACCGATGGTCTCCTTCTTCTCCTAGGTTCCTGAGCAGCCCCTGTGCTCCTTTCCTGGCCACCATTGGTGTGGCCTTACAGTGGTCTGCATGTTCCCCACCCTACATTCCACCGGCTTGCCCCCTTCCTTGCTGTCCTCAGTCTGCTCAGATGGTTGTACCACTTCCTTCTATCGAAGAATCACTAGGAAAAAAAAATCCTTGCTTTTGAACCTAACATTCCACACAATTTTGAACATCTTCAAAGATTGTTTTACCTTTACCTATTCAGCATTTAAGAGCAATCTCACATCCCATCAGAAGGAAGTAACCAAATCAGAAATGCCATTCCTGCTGATTCCTGAGTTCTTTATCCTTATACAAAGTTTTACATCTCTTGGTCTATAGACATTTTTCTATCAGCTTTTCAAGAAGCTCAAGGCAGGAGTTTAGTGCACTTCTCCACACTCTAAATCCACACCTCAGTTCTCCAAACCTTTCCTTGCTCACGGTGTAGGACTTGGTGCAGTTAGCCATGTTGTAGGTCACCTAAAGAGACCTTTACAGTCTGATGTTCCCTTCCACACTGTTGGGGGTTCAAGGGATTTTAGTGCCAATCAAAGAAATAGAACCACGAGAGGCAGTTAACACACAGCAAGCTTTATTGAGCAGCTTCTGAAAAGGTTTGCATGGGAGGGGAATTCCCTCAGAACATGAGGCAGTCCAGAGAGAGTGAGGGGGCCGCCATCCAAAAGGAGAAGAAAGCAAGGGAACGCCCAGTAGAGAGGGGATTCAAAGAAGAGATTTGTATGTCTAGGATATGTCCCTTACTAGCACAGCAAGGAGTCTCTGGGTCTGAGAGCTCCAAAGAGTAGTAGTAGTTTAGGGTCTTAAAACCACAAGTTGTGCTCTGTCTTATGAAGGGGCAGCAGGTGCTGGGTGTAGTTTGGAAAGGTATGCAAAGCGGGCAAGCCCTTAGTAGATAGAATCTGCTTACTTGAGCTATATTTAAAACAATGTGATACCAAACTCAAAATTTGAGTTTGGCTCTGGTAGGCTTTTGAGCTAAAGGGTCTCAGCCTACAGTGAAAAGTAAAAACCACAGGGACCAATACACAGAGGCCATCTTTGGCTTATTTATGTAATACACGTTCACAAAGACTGAGGTATCCATCCATACTCTAAATTCCTTCTTGTTTACTTGATGATAAAATCTATGTCCTCATGCCAGTTTTTCTTTCAACATCATCAGACATCACTGAACACTATCTCTTTGTTGAAATGGCATCTAGGACAAAATATGGTCCCATTGCACTTCTGCTCCTGCAGCACTTCCTTTATTCACTGTTTTGTGAATGCTTCTGAATGTGTTCAGTCAGTTTAGCTTTCAATTGATGCCTAACAACTTGGGTTTCACTTAGGTGATGATCTAATGGTTGATCCACTAACAATGCCATATATTAGCCTTTAAGTTTTATTACATTTCTGTACATGAAAGGAGTGTTAATGCTACATTGCTTTGGCATATGTTTGAGTACACATGTATAATATGTGGTTTGAAGAGCCGAGATTTTCTTATTTGGGTTTTCTAATTTATCATTATTATTGCTTCAGTCTGGAGCTTTACCGTCAAGTAGCTGGCTTTCTGTCAGGTCTTATTGCACTAACTAATTTATGCATAATACAAAACATTGTGCCACCAAAAAAGATATTAATTACTTCAGGTTAACCATATATTCCTACTTTTTATTAAAGTCATTATTAAATCTAAAAATATGCATTTTTTTGGTTAGGAGACATTTTTTATCTAAATACTGTTTAACTGGTTTCTTCTATTTAGTATTTATACCTCTCCTTGTGATCAAATTATCTACATCAGAACATTATGTAATATCAAAAAGAGAGAGAGAGAGAAAAAGAACATTATGTAATAACGCAATGATAAATGTCATCTTAATTTACTTTTTGTTCCAAATGTGAACTAATCTCTTTTATCATCATAAAATCACTCCATGCATGTATTTTGGAAATAAAACTAAAATAGCTGTGGAGTATCACAATTGAAATATACTGTTGTACT